TGGAATAGCACACACACGTGGAATAGTACACACACGTGGAATAGTACACACGTGGAATAGTACACACACGTGGAATAGTACACAAGGTTGAAGAATTGAAGAATGATGATGATGGGTGAGCTGGAGGACATTGTGCCGAATGAAATGAATTAGTCACACAGGGACAAACATTGTATAAGACCACTATGGTAAAAACTATAAAAAAAAAAAAAAAAAAAAGGTTTTCATGCTAAAAGAAGCATTCTATGATGGTTATCAGGGGTGGGAGGGAAGGAAGAATTATTCACTGGCACGGTAGCTCTGTTCAATCAACACTGGAATGGGGACCACAAGGTTGATGGCTCGAGCCCCGCAGCTCCTTGGGAAAAAGATGAGGCTTTTTGCTCCCGTAAGGATGCACAGCCTCGGAGACTCTACAGAGGGTTGTTGTGAGTCGAAACTGACTCGATGACACTTAACAATAACAACAAAGGGCAGACACGTACGTGTTGACTTGGGTAACAGGGAAGGCCATGCACAGCAGGAGGGGTGTTGGCAGGAGGGAGATGAAAGGTCAGTAGGAAGAGCACAGGGAAGGGGTTGCAAACATTGTAATGACAGGAAGTGCATAAAAAGAAGCCAAGGCCACTTTGAGGCTCTGGGGGCACCGGGGCACCTCACCAGCACCCTCACACCCCACGTCTACTTTTAGAAATGGAGGTGCCTTCCAAACACCATTGTTTCCACATTCTACTTAGGAACTCTGCTTCGAATTCAAAGCTGCCCCTTCTGTCATCGTGTCATCGTTGTCTGGTGACCCAGGTGGCAACTGGCTCTACGTTCAACAGCTGGTGTCTCTGGGACATTTGATCCTAAGTACACCACATGGATACTGTGAGTGTGGCTTCCTGGCACACTGCCGTCTGTATTACCGCTTCATCTCGGGGTGGGGGAGGGAAGAGCAGGACGTCCCTCTGTGGTTACTTCCCGTGTGAAGGGGACAAGGACCCCATCTTTAAGGCACAGTCACACCCACAAGAGGTTCAAGAACCCCACTGTCTATGCTCAGAAAGGAGGGGCACACAGTGCCTCAGATTTGGTCCTCCTGGACATGGTGTGGGCTAGAATGCTGATGATCAGACCCTGAGGTGGTAGGTAGCATATGTCCCACCATGGCCACTCCGGGCCCGGGACCACCGCTGCAACTTTCAAAGACTGGCTGATATCACAAGGAGAGCTTTCAACAACAGAGCTGCATCTAAACTTTTAGAAGACTTGGCAAAGCTTTCTCTAGGAACATGGCCCACTTCACATGAATAAGAGAGACCGGTAACAGGGACCCCATCTCAAGACTATAACCATGAGCACAATCCTGGGCAGAGCAGGGAGGAGGGACAAGTGTGAGATGAACCATTGCCATCAAAGGCAACCTTCCAAGAAATGGAAACAGGGAAACAGGTAACGCAGGGAGGAAGTGGGCCAGGCCATGTGGCACTAAAGGGTTACAATCGCTGAGATGGAATGAGCTCTATGACTTGGTGGATGTAAAATGGATGATCTGCTTTTCATTCACAATAAGATGTTAAAAACAAAGCAACCTGCTTTGTTGAGAAAGTGGAGGAATACAGGGAAGGCTCAAAGTTACCCTAAATTTCAACATCCAGAGACCACCCTGTGTTCATAGTTTGGTGCGTTTCCTTCTAGTATTTTCTTTCAGCACACATATACACACACAACACACAAAGAGCTATGCCCTGGGGAACTGGGGAGCACAAATACCTGCCCATGCTCACATCTGTTTGTGCACACCATCACCTGCACACACACACATACATGCACATACCAAACAACTGCATATGGGCATACATGCATGCACATCCACATTAGCACACACAAACACATGTACACGTGCAAATACACATCTGCAGAGGTATGTACGTTGTAGGAGACCGCAAGTACTGAGATGCTGAGGACCGGTGTCATGGACAAAAATCCAACACAATGGCCACTCTCAGGCTTGCTAGCCAGGGACCCTGAGGGCTCAAGGAAGTAACCTCCGGACTTCCCGGGTTCTTTAGCTTTTACGAACTCACTGTTGGGCTAACTCTGTATGTTCATTCTATGCTTCTAACTCCAGTAATTGTAGCTTCTGAGAAAATGGTTTTTATAATGCCTCTCTTAATGTCCACTGTGTTGGAAGTGCATAGGGTCCTGGGAACGA